CGGTAGCCGCGGAGAGGGCGGGGTCGGGAGAGCGGAGCGGCGCGAGCGTACAGGGCCGGACTAGAGCCGGGCGCTGGATGCTTCCAGATCCACCGCGGGAGCCGAGCGGCAGTCAGAGCAGCCGAGCAGCTGCAGCCAGGCCGAGCTCGCAGATCCGCGCCCACCGACCTGTCCACCTCTATTCCCCGCGCTGTCGGAGGCGAGGGGGACTGGGAGAGCAGCGACCTTCGCTCCCACGCTCGGAACGCGATCGCCCCTGCCCTGTCTGGTCACGGCCTGAGCACCAAATACGCAGGAGGTCGGGGTCAGTATCTCCACTCTGAGGGTCCGGGGACCGAAGAGGAAAAAAAGCCAAGAGGATTCCGTGTAAGAGCATCGCGTGAGCTTGGGGCGTGGAGGAGAGTGAAGATTTCCCGTGGTGCCAGAGGTACCAGGGCTTACGAGGCCTGGGTGGGTACCAGGCAGTTCAGCATCCCAACAGCCACGATCTCTCTTCTGCTCTGAGGGAGCTAGAATAATCGGGCGGCTCGGATCCAGCACTTGAAAGCGGTGCCCTCTCTTGTCTGAGGAATCAGGACCTGGCCCAGCAAGTCCCTGGAAAACCTGTCTCCTGTCTCAGTCTTTCTGGTACGGATGGGCCGCTGCCCACTGCAGCGCCATGAAGGCAGGATGACCTCAGCCGAAGCAGTGGCTGTGGCTGGGAGTGCCCGGGAGCATGGCCGCCCCAAGTGGCCTCCTGACAACCCTGAGGTCCTTGGGCAGCCTGCTCGAGCCAGAGTGGTTGTGGCAGCCCTGGTGTGGCTGTTGGCAGGAGCCAGCATGTCAAGCCTCAACAAGTGGATCTTCACAGTGCACGGCTTTGGACGGCCCCTGCTACTCTCGGCATTACACATGTTGGCAGCTGCCCTGGCTTGCTACTGGGGGGCCCGGCGGCCCATGCCCCGCATCATCCAAGGCAGAGTGCTGCTGCTCAGCCTCACCTTTGGTACCTCCATGGCCTGCGGCAACGTGGGCCTGAGCACTGTACCCTTGGATCTAGCACAACTGGCCACCACCACCACACCACTGTTCACATTGGGCTTGTCTGCGCTGCTACTTGGACGAAGACATCATCCCCTGCAGTTTGCTGCCATGGGCCTACTCTGCCTGGGAGCTGCATGCAGCCTAGCTGGAGAGTTCCGGGCACCCCCAGTTGGCTGTGTCTTCTTGCTAGTAGCCACCTGTCTCCGAGGCTTCAAGTCCGTTCAACAGAGTGAGTGCCTGGTCTCCCTCTGAGGAGGTGGGGGAGTGTGGCTGGGATATTCCTGTGAAGGGGTGGCTGTGATCCTCTTTGATAAGGCTCAGAGAAGTCAGGGAGTTCAGGCTTCAATCTTTTTTGTTTGGTTGGTTTTTTGTTTGTTTGTTTGTTTGTTTTGAGACAGGGTTTCTCTGTGACTTTGGAGGCTGTCCTGGTACTAGCTCTTATAGACCAGGCTAGCCTCCAACTCACAGAGATCTGCCTGCCTCTGCCTCCAAAGTGCTGGGATTAAAGGTATGTGCCACCACCACCCAGCCAGGCTTCAATCTTAAGCATTAGAGGCGTAGTTAATATGGACATACCTGTAATCCTAGCATTTGGGAGGCAGAGGCAGGCGGATCTCTGTGAGTACAAGGCCAGCCTGGTCTACAGAGTGAGTTCCGGGACAGGCTATGAGGCTACACAGAGAAACCCTGTCTCCAACCCCCCCCCCCACCTCCCCAAAAATAAGTTGTTGAAGTGTTCTATGACTTGAGAAGCCTTTTGTCCCACTGGATCCTCCTACAGCCTCTCCTTGAGTCAGTCAGGAACTTTATTATCTCCAGGTGACAGATGTGGAGTCTCAGCCTGGGCCTTGGGCCAGTGAACAGCAAAGGCAATGTTTGAATAGACTCCAGGCTGCCCAAGCTATGTGTCCTAAGATTATGAACCCAGAAGGCCAGAAGTGTGAACTAGGGAAGAAAAGGGAAGGTAAAGCAGTCAGGAACGGTTTATCTAAGCCAGGGAAGTGTTTATTACGAGGAGCTACCGTGTGACAGGTCTGATGCTGTGAATTGATCATCAGTTGTCACAGCCATTTCCACCTCATGCTGGCCTTGAACTTGTGATCCTTCTGTCTAAGCCTCCCAGCTGCTGCCAAAGAGGTTTATGATTGGCTCCCAAGAACTCCCAAGTCTAGTCAGTGTGACTGGGTGCTGGCTGTATTGAGAGTGGGCAGCAGGACTCAGAGCAGAAGTAGGTATAATCCCCCGCCCAGTTCCAGTATGCCTAGAGTGAAGGTTGACTTCCCGTCTGGGCAGTTGAGGGGCATTAGAGTCATAGCCCTACTCTCCCTCCACCTTAACGCAAGGAAGAAGTAGGAGAGTTGAGGGTGGAAAGTGAGGGTTCCCGGAGTGATGATGAGCTATGGTTGGGGCGGCCTGCAGCTGAGGAATGGTGAAGTGGGGATTTTGGCCTGCCTGGCATCTTCGACTGGGACCCAAAGGTCCTGTCCCCATCTTCCCAGGCCACAGGCAGGGTGAAAGCCCAGTCTATTTTAGCCCTCAGGTTACATGAGCTGAGGCCTGAGCTGGGCCTTGAGTTGGCTCAGTGAAACCCGACCCTGTAGGACCTTCCTGAGCAGGGACAGAAAGCAGAGAAGCCCCCAGCTTCCAGGCCCACACTACACCTGCCAGAGCCAAGTACCCCTCATACTGGGCTGTGGGCAGCCCCTGTCTGTAGGAGGGGCTGTGACTAGTCAGGCACCAGAGCACTCAGGCATGTTCATAGTGGCATGTTATTGACATCCAGCCACCTCTTGGCTTGTGCCAGCTCCCTTCTTCCCTCTCAAGACTCAGCTTCTTACACTGAGCGTGTTGGGTGCCCTCTGCTTCACCAGTTGTGGGGTATTCACAGCTATTGATCACCCAACAGGCTTTGGGAAATATGTGTCCTCAGCACCTGGCCTGGGCCTGGCATAAAGAAGAAATTCAAATGATGTCTTTAATTGATGGTTTTGATATCAGTTGACGTCAGGTTGGTAAACTGATTAGGCTGCATGGATTGGGGCCAGGTGCTAAAGAGGGCGCTTAGGAAGCCAGAGGTTCTACTAACAGAAGTGGGAGCCTAGCTGGGGTGAGGGAGTGGACTGGATCCAGGCTTTGGAATGGAGTTTTTAAAAGAGAAAGTTTCTTTTTGATAGAGGCTCTTGGGCCAGATTCAGACTAGAGTGTGCAGACTTTATGTTCGTGTTAGCTCCTTCCCTGAGAGCAGGGAGTAACAGTCCAGAAAGAGGGCTCAGACATCCACAGCCAGCCTCTTCTGTCCTACATGGGCCAGCTGCAGGATCGGGGCTGTGTGGAGTGAAGCAATGCCAACCTCATATCCAGAGGCAAGGAAGTGAGGTGCCAGCCTGCCGAGCCTGTTGTCATCTGTCCACCTGTGTTTCAGAACCTCATTTGAGCCCCCAGTGAGGGAAGTGCTGCACTTTGCAGGAGAGAAGTTGTAGACCAAAGTGGGCTGCACAGGTGTGGTGTGGGCTCAAGGGAGCTGTGCAGCCACAACGATGACAACAGCAGAAAAGGACATTCTGGGATGGGACACAGGTTGTGGCAGAGCCTGTTGATCATCAGAGAGCTTGGGGGGGGGGTCAGCTTGGGTGCTGAGGATGTACACTTAGTGTTCCTCCCCCATACTATCCATGAGGAGTTTGAGACTGAGAGGTGACTATGTCACACATCCAGGGAAGGGACAAAGTGGGGATAGGCCAGGAGGCAAGGATTTACAAAAAGGCAGCTGCTTTGTGTCTGCACCAGGGGTAACGTGTGTTCAGATGCTGACCTGAAAGTGCCTTTGAGGCGGGTGTGAAGGTATGTGCCTGCAATCCCAGTATCCTGGGAAGATCATGAGCTCAAAGCCAGCTGGGGCTACAAAGTCAGACTCTGTCTATAAGCAGAAAAAATAAAGTATCCTTTCAGCCTGGCATAGTGGCACATGCCTATAATCCTATCACTTTAGAAACTGAGGTAGGAATGTCACATGGCTAGGCTAGTATGGGCCAACCTGGGATCTGTATTCTGGGCTAGAGCGTGCCCAGAGGCCACAAGCTAGTGAGGCCAGAGAGAAGGGGTCTCTTAAGAATTGCCCCCCCAGTCATCTTCAACCTCCCCTGACCACGCCCTCATGGGCGTGGCCAGGCACACCTGTAGGGGCTACTAGGAGGCGGGGCTACAGTGTCTCCCTACAATTCCCCTTTTAGTCTAAAAGAGGATTAAAACTTAATAGTGTAAAACATCCAAAATTAACAATCAAAAAGGTGTAATACAAGGAAATACAATAATCTGCTGTTGCACATCCTGTCTATTCTGTCTAAGCCCTAAAGTCATGTGGAAAGGTTGTCTAACTTGAACACCTCCTTCCAATCCCAACTCTAAACAATTAAGTTATTCCTAACTAGGCTTACACTACCCTAATAAACAATAATGGGGAGCGGGGGCATAGCATCTTCTAAGTTACTTCCCGCTGAAACGGGATGATGGTAGTAGCCTTGAGGGGTCCTGTGGAAAAAAAAATGTTAGGATAGGGAAAGTCTCTAATGGGTTATCTCCAGTCCATGTTAGATGGAATTTACTTGATTGAAGATCTAGGTTGAACGTGGTGATGGGGCTCGGCAGCTTTTGGCAGGAAGATTTATCGTAACAACCAACTCCTGAAAGTTGTCCCATATACACATACAAATAGCACACAAATTGCATACATGTTTTATACATACACATACATCGTACATACACATGATGTAATTTTTTAATGTTAAAGACCCTGTCTCGGCTGGGCGTTGGTAGAGCACACCTTTAATCCCAGAAGCAGAAGCAGGCAGATCTCTGTGAGTTCCAGGCCAGCCTGGTCTCCAGAGCTAGTGCCAGGATAGGCTCCAAAGCTACACAGAGAAACCCTGTCTCGAAACAAACAAACAAACAAACAAACAAACAAACAAACAAACAAAGGCCCTGTCTCAACCCCCTTCAAAGAACCTAAATAAAATGCCTTGTGTGTTGTGTGGGGGGTGCTTGGGACTGTGTAGCTCAGCAATAGAGAGCTTTCTTAGTTAGGGGAGGCCCTGGGATGGATCCTGAGCACCAGAAAGAAACAAAACAATGATGTGGATGGTCTGGCAAGGGTGGGGTTACTGAGGAGTCAGCACAACAGGCTAACTAACATTTGGGGAGTTAGTCACTTCTGCCATAGGAGTCACTTCTGTGGGCCTTAGGGGGAGGGGAAGTTGGACAGGATGCAGGACAGGTGCAAGGACTGCCCCTGAGGGTGAAGTCCACCTGAAACCAGACCCTTCCTGTACTGGTATCTTTAAGGCTCAAGCCTCGGACAGCTAGCTGCTCAGGTACTAACTTTGGAGCAAATGAGCAGGAGGCACTCTGATTATCTCTTCATTTCTAGAAAAGCTTGAGCTGGAGACTGTTGCCTAGTGAACCAAGCCCAAACAGCAGAATGAACTTCGAGAGGAATAAATACCATTTCCTGTTGTAAGCATGGGTTGTGAGTAAGCACTGTGTGTCAGGAAACAGCCATCTAGGGGCCGAGGAGACACCAGGACCAGTTGTCTCTTCTCTCCTAAGACTTGGAAAATGCTGTGTCTGGTCTTTGCCCTTGGGCACACACTGCCATTTCACCCAGACCGTGTTGGCCTTTGATGCTCGAAGTGGTATGGGCACAGGAACATATAGCCACATTTGTGCAGGCAGCAGGATCCCTTCTTTCTTTGAAAACCTAAAAGGTGTTCTTTTAATCCTGGATCCATCTTGACAAGCCCCACTGTTGGTAGTTTTTTGTTTGTTTGTTTAGATTATACAAAGATTATCGAGACAGACATGCACGCCTGTAATCCCAGCGTTTGGAAGTGGTGGGGGTGACAACACAGTATTAGGACAAAAGAATGAAGAATTGAAGCCAAGCCTCAGCTACAAGGAGAGCTCAAGGCCAGCCTTGGCTACATGAAATCTTGTCTTAAAAAAAACAAAAAACAAAAAAAACAAAACCAAAAAGCAAACAAACACCTTGATTTAAAATCATCAACAGTGAGTGGCTGCCAAGAACCAACAATGACTGCCTTGTCACCAGTGGTCATAAGTGAATGGGGTAATGCCTAGTCTCACTATTTTGACTCAACTATTTTCCTTCTTCCTTTCCCCTCCTCCTCTTCACACTCCCCCCCCCCCCCCCCCCCCCCCCCCTCCCCCCCCCCCCCCCCCCAGCTCCTTCATCCTTTGGTTATGTCTGGTAAGTGGTAGAGCCGGGTTCTCTCTGCTCAGTCCCTGTGTCCTGGCTGGATTGTAGGGATGTTTTGTTTTTTACATTTCCTGAGCATTCACCATATTAAGGCTTTTGTACATGTTACCTTTGTGAAATTTTACCTGTAAGAGAGGAGTGGGCACAGGTCACAAGCCCAGCTGGCCTAACTCCTCATTTGAAAGTGATACTTCGCAACAGGGGCCACCAACCCTGCTCAGAGTCAGGGCTGGCTTTTAGGAGTCTGAGGATGGATGGGGCTGTACAGGGCTGGCCCAGTGGGTACTGCCTTTACCCCAGGTAATGACAGCCACTCTCTTGGTTACAGGTGCTCTGCTGCAGGAAGAGAGGCTGGATGCGGTGACTCTGTTGTATGCCACCTCTCTGCCCAGCTTCTGCCTGCTGGCAGGTGCTGCTCTGGTGATGGAGGCTGGGGTGGCCCCACCACTGGCTCCCACTGACTCACGCCTCTGGGCCTGTGTCCTGCTCAGCTGCTGCTTATCTGTGGTCTACAACCTGGCTAGCTCCTCCTTGCTGGCACTCACATCTGCCCTCACCGTCCACGTACTGGGCAACCTCACAGTTGTGGGCAACCTCATCCTGTCCCGGCTCCTGTTTGGCACCCACCTCAGCGATCTCAGCTACGTGGGCATCGCACTCACCCTTTCAGGAATGTTTGTTTACCACAACTGTGAGTTCGTGGCCTCCTGGGCTACCCGTCGGGGGTTGTGGCACAGGGACCAGCCTGGCAAAGACCTGGTGGAGTGCATGAACCATACCTGAACAGCCCTAGCCTGAATCTGACAATGGCCATGAGGAAACTGGAAAGGTGCTATGTCTGCCAGGCCGGGGAAAGGAGGTGCCTTCTGGAAGGGCTGCCTGGGAGGCCAGGGACCTTCAGAGAGACCCACCCCGTCCCTGCCAGCCTCACCTGTTACAGCAAGGCCTGCCACTGGATGGCAGGTTCAAGTCTGGTATGTGTGTTTGTCAAATGAATCATTATGATTGATGTCAAGTACTATGATGAGAATTGCTGGGCAAACTGTTAGAAACCCTCAATGTGTTAGGATGAAGATGATGCCCAGCGGCTGCACAATTCTTCCTCCAGTGAGGGAGGCCATGAGGGACACCAGAAAAGGCTTCCCCCCAAAATTTGGTAGTCTGTGCCAGCTTTAGGCAGCTACTGCAGCCTCACTCCGGTGACTCCTCCCCAGGGTTTGGGTCTTCCATCCTCAAATAAACTATTTTTGCTTGGACATCTGTGTCATTCCTTGGGGCTACAGTCAAGGGAACATAAAGGGAGTGAGTGGTTGGCTACCACGTGGTTGTTCCTAACTCAGTGTTGGCCTCTAGCCTAACACTGTTCTCTACAAGTCCCCCTACTGGCCAGGCTACCATTGGCCAGCTTCAGGGGTGGTAATGGCCCCCGCCCTGCTCCTCCATCTTTCAGGAGTTCTCCTCTTGGGGAGATCTTCCTAAAACACATGTGCTCTGGAGTTCTATTCTGCCTGAGGACAGTCAGGGCTTTCTGCTGTATGCCACAAGTCCCTTTATTCTGTGTCCTTGCCAGACTCCAGTCTCACTCCCCAGAGCCTTCCCTTGTGCTGCCCTCCATGGTCCCTCTTCCTCTATGCCCTCCTCCCTAGCCACATACTTGTCTGTAAGAGAAAGACCCCAGCATGCTACTCTCCCTTCAAGGAGGCCTGATGAGAGAGGTTATTCATCAAGGGCTGAGTCTAGGGTTGTGGGCCCATGGGATCAGTCACAAGAGCAACTTCATGGAGGAGCAGGCACCAAGGAAGCACCCAGGCTAACCTAGAGCCCTAGGAATCAGGCCTTTCGTGCAGTGAACCTAGGGAGAGATCCCTACTTTAAAGCTAGCCCAGAGCTCCCCAACTGGTTAGCCCCAGCTTTGTCTGCTCGTCCCCCAGCCCTTGGTGATAGACAGCTAAGTCTGTGTACCTATTAAAATGGATAAGAACTTAGCCTAGGGCACAAAGGCCTGACACCTAACCCTACTAGATCAACCTTAACTGCTCTCCCTGTTTAGGTTGCTTTTTTTTTTTTAATTTTCTGATAGAGTTTTAATGTAGCCTATGCTGGCTTCAAAGCCACTGGGTATCTGAGAGTGACTTTAGACTCTTGATTTTCCTGCTTCTACCTCCAGAGAGCTAGGATTCCAGGCCTGTTTATCACAACACTCAGGTTTATGTGGTACTGGGGTTTCAAGCATGCCAGGCAAGCATCATCCTGCCAGCTGAGCTCCATCTCTAGTTCTTCCCCTCCCCTTTCTGAGCATCAGTTAATGACACTCAGGGTTGTAATGGTCTCTGTGGGGAGGATTTGAATGAGGAGCCCAGTGGCAAGGAAGGAGGGGTGACCATTACCAAATGACTGTCATTATTTCAGGTGGCCAGTCACACACACACCCCCTGATCCCCACCACGGCTGCAGATCCACCTGAAAATAGATTCCTTTTGAGTGAGGATAAAGCTAGAACAGGTGGGGGCTGGGATCGAGAGGAACTACATATTCACATAGCTATGGTTCACATATGGAACACATATGGTTCACATAGCCATAATTCATAAAGGACTCCTGTCCAGGGCATGTGGGGGGGGTAGCCTGAGGCTGGGTGGGAGAGAGACGGGTAATGAATGGCAAGGAGCACAGACAGGCATAGAGTTTTCTAGCCTCAGCCTCCCCACGCTGCCCTTATAGAGAGCCTTGCTGACTCACTGCTACCCACCTCTCTATGACTCAGAGATGCCACTGGCTTGTTCTGTCCCACCCTTACACAGCTTGCCCAGCTCTGGATTCCACTCTCAGGCTTGGCTGGGCGGAAGAGAAGAGATGCTTTGGCTGGGGAGAGCCTCCTTGGTGACTCTTGTCTTTCTTATTGGAGGGACTGCACACTACTCTAGGAGCGTACTTGTTTGGCCCTCACCCAGGCTCTTTGGCCTCAGAAGATGCCTGCTGCCTGGAGAGTCACTCCCTGACTCTATACACACACACACACACACACACACACACACACACACACACAGAGAGAGAGAGAGAGAGATCAAAGGCTGGTGGTGTGGGGACAGCATAGGGGTTAGGTGGATCTGTGCTTGACTTAGGTGCTGGCCTGTCACCAGTCACTGAATTGATGTCCCCAAGGCGCTCCAATCGGTTTTCAGCAGAAGCAAAGACCAACAGCGAGTGAGCAGAAAGCCAGGGACTAGGTACTACATCTTTCTACTCACAGCAGGATGCTAGGCTAGTCTTGCCTGGCCCCACTGTGTCACTGCCAGCAAAGATCACAGGATAACCAGAAGGAAGAGCCCCATCGCAAGATCACTATTCCTTTGGGACTCTGTTGCCTTGGGCAAGAGGTCTCACCTCTCTGAGGCTTCATGATCTTCTATCCAGTCACTGCTGGTTTGCCCGGGATAACAAACGTTGCCTTCCTGGGAAAGCTCTTCTCTCCCTCTCCACTCCCCACCCCCCAATGCCACAGCAAGTCTGAAGCCGCAGCTGAATGTGACCATTCCACATGGGGCCCCTGATCACAGGGTCACACTCCACCTGAGAGCTCAGCCTTTCTCCTCTTCCTTACTAGGCCGCCAGCATCGGGATAGGGTGTGGCAGTGAGCAGATGTAACAGTCAGATGCATTGCAAGACCTCCAGGGATGACGGAAACAGCTCTATACTGGCCATGTTCTTTTTGTGCCTGCATTTCATGTGATTTCTATCTTAACCGAACCCTTATCACACACTTGGCCTTAACTTCTGTGGTCTGAAGTACAACAGCAAACAGCACAAACAACTTTTTTCCTTTTTCACAATGTCACAGACTTGTTCTTATATGTCTTGATCTTATCAATTAGAGTTCAATGCCTACCTTTTCCCTTAAAGTAAGCACTTTAAAGCTTCCTTTTGGCAGGCTGGGCTGTGGTGCCACACACCTCTAATCCAGCCCTTGGGAGGCAGAGGCAGGCAGATCTCTGTGAGTTCAAGAGTTTACAGAGTAAGTTTTAGAACAGCCAAGAACAGCTAAGGCTACACAGAGAAACCTTTCCTCAAAACAAACAAACAAAGCTTCCTTTTGGCATATCCAAAATGTAAACTTCACTCTGCTATTCTTGTGTTTGGGGACTATTAATAAGTAAAATAACAGTTACCTCCACACAACCATGGTGACACCACATGTGATAACCATACTAAGACACCAACTGCAGCCTATACTGTGAAGATGATCCAATGGCCTGGTTGGGCAGAAGCAGGACAGGTGTGATGTCACAATGGTAGGTCTTCCCAGGGTGACAGTAGAGACCGCCCTTCACAAAGATCAGTACCAGAAATGTGGAAAGTGAAAATGGGGACAGCGGTGCGCTATTGCACTACTGAGTCAGAACTGGGTTTGAGACCTGGCTCTGGCATGCTGTGACCTGGAGCAAGGGCCGTCAGTTCCCGTGCCTCTGTGCTATAAATGGGGCAGTGAAACTGAACTCTGCAGTTCTCAGAAGCTGCCTGGGAAACACTTAGCCCACGTGCTTTGAGTCAGTGTCAGAGACGCTCCAGAGTTCCTCCCCAAGGCCATTTGGTCTTCTCTCCACCCTTCCTCTGTGGCCACCTGCACACTGACAACCTCAGGGCAAGCTCCTGTTGGACAGAAGCGGGTGTAGTCCTGGCCTCCAGGCTTCTGGCCAGGTCTTGGGGGAAGCCAGGAAGCTGGAGCTGTGCTGGGCATCCTGCCATTGTGGACTTCAGGCAAAGCCTTGTCTCAGCCTTAGCTACCAAGGGTCCCCTCCCATCCTGCCCTGGTACCCTTGGCTTGTCATTCTAGAAGGCCAGGGCAAACAAGGATTCTTTTTTCAGTGCTAGGGACTAAACCCAAGGGTTGTGCATGCTAGGCAAGCTCTCTCCCTCTAGTCCTAGAAGACTTCTTGGGATTGGGTTATGGATCCATTGGTAGAATGTACAAAATACTAGGTTCAATCTGCTAGTACCATGGTGGCTCATGTCTGCAACTCGAACACTCAGCAGGTGCAGGTAGGAGGTTCAGAAATTTAGTCATCTTTAGCTACACAGTGATTTTGAGGCCAGCCTGGGCTACATGGGAACAAAACCCTAAATCAAACCAACAGTAAGAACAAAGCAAAGCAAGGACTCTTCTTGCTGTGTCCTGTCCCTGCTCTGTCCCATCCTTATGTCCCCCCAGCGCCCCCCACCCCCACACACCTGGAGCCTCTTCACCTGCTGAGCCATCACCAGTCCACTTCTTTGTTGAGTAATTATTCTCCAGTGCACTTTTAGCTTAGGTGAAGGAAATACTAGAGGAGCTGAGCCAGAAGACCCAGGGCCTGATGACAATGGAGAAAGAGCTAGCGGCAGAGTAGAGTAGTAGATTGTTTAAAAATTCTGGACCTTTATGTGGTGGCACACGCCTTTAATCCCAGCACTCAGGAGGCAAAGGCAGGTGATCTCTGATTATGAGGCCAGCCAGGTCTACACAACAGTTCTACAACTGCCAGGGCTACACAGAGAGATCCTGTCTTGGAAAAAAAAAAAAAAACCCTGGAAGTTTACTATTTTGATTTAGCTTTTGCACTAGGCCTTAATATGCGAGATTAAAAGCCAGAACTGCTGAAGTCCTAACGGGAAAACTTAAACCTAAGTTATTATTCAGTAGAAATTGAGGCGGAAAGGACAGCCCAGGTTCCCAAACAGGCAACTGTAACTGGCATGACAATGAGGTTGCCTGGGCTTTTAATCCTTTAATCCTTACCAGTAACCTGACTTGTCCCTCTGCCTGGCACACACCAGTAATTCATCTCTCTGAAGGGTCAAGAGGATTGCTACTCCTGGGCTACACAGAACTGGTCTCATGCCTCCACCCGTCTCCACACACACACTCACCCTCACCCCCATACTCCCCAACATATAAACTTTGAAATGAGCAGTTCTTGTGGTTTTAATAGCCTATTTCAAGATCGTGTCTTCAAATACACCTTTCTGCTTTTGTCACTCATTTTCTATTAACTCAAAAATTACCCTGCTCAGTTAAATACTTCCTCTATTTTATACAACCAAGTCTGGCCTTTTTCTAGAAACATTGTGTCTTATACCTACAATCAGAGCACTTGGGAGGCTTAGGCAGGATTGTTACATGCTTGAATCTGAGGTCAACCTAGGCTGCACAGTAAGTAAATTCCAGGTCAGCCTGGGCTACATATTGAGACCCTGTCTCAAAACAGCAAAAGAAAGTCTAAGGGGAGACATCTGAATGTCTCTTTCTTACTGACAGTTTTAACATCCAACCTAGGAGGTGGGGCTTAAAGGAGACCACCCAGAGGGTTGTCTACCCAGACTGTGTACAGAGAAAAGACCAGCATCTGAGCCTAAGGACAAGGAAACTGGTCCACCCATCATTTCACAAAGCCCTCGAAACCTTCCTTGCCTCTGCTAACCACTAGGCTAAGCAGGCACCTTTACAGAGCCCTGTATTAATACACTCCCAAAGTGCTCGTTCATTCATTTTCAGCTAATTCCATACGAGGCAAGCTGAGCAAGTTGACGCACCCTGCCTTGCGTCTTTACCTTTACACATATGCTCCCCGACCCTCAGCTCAGTATACCCCCTCAAATGTGTCTACTGTTTCCTCCTTCAATTGTGAAGTCCAACTGACCATGTTCAGGAATGGGCCAGCTCTTGTATGAATATGTTTAGGCTCCCTGAATATAATCTCCACGGTTGCTTTGTTCGAGTGTCAGGAGCCGTAGTGTAGAAACTCATCGCCTAGCTGAATTCTAGACTTCCAAGTAAAAAAGAACTTCCGGAAGCAGCAGTTTGAAGTAGAGTCAGAGTTTATTTTAAAACACAAACACATTTTAAGCACAAGGGTTCAAAAAGAGAGGAGGGGATGAAAGTCAGCATCCCGAGATGTTGGGCGTCTCAGTCAGTTAAGAGTCTTTACAGCAGCCATCTATACTGTTTCTGATGGCTTTGGACTTGGGCCTAATGTGGTCATGGCTAGTTTCTATGTGTTGAATAGGGTCACAGCTAAGGTAAAGCCTTAGACCAAAGGTTTGTGCGGCAAATCATTTTTTACTGAAAAAAAAAATCAGGGAGGAGGTCTTCTTTTTGAGACTCTCAAAATATCTAACTAGGAAAGGAAAGGAGTAAGGTCACACTTGAAGGTCATAAAGGTTTAGGCCTTAAGCATGGTTCAATGTTATTTTAGCACAAGGCAGTGGTGGCACACTCCTTTAATCCTAGCACTCGGGAGACAGAGTCAGGCGGATCTCTGTGAGTTCAAGGCCAGCCTCTGCCCGCCCCAGTCCAAAAAAGGGTAACTCCTAACTGGCAACCTTTACAACAAACCGTAATTGTGGTAGACTTGTGCAGGAAGCATCACTAGCCACCTGTCCCTTTTCATGTCCCCATAATGGAAAGAATGTAAGAGCTGGAGGCTGAGGAGAGGCATGCTGGCTGCTGGACTGATTCACATAGCTGTTGTAAGCACCCATTATCACCTACACAAGATCAAGCCCCGTCCTTGTGGAGGAGCTACAGAAGTTGATGGCTGTAGAGGGAGGGAGGGTCACTCTCATGTGGCAACATGGCCACTGGTAATTGCTTACACCCTACGGGATGATCCCACACCCGTGAGCATATGGGCAGCACTAACTGGTTTCAGGGTTATTAATAACAACAAAAAAAGGAGGAACATGATATTGGGAGGGAGGCAGAACAAGGGCACTAGGAGGAGCCGGGGAAGGTACTGATGGATGGAGATGATCAACCCAGGTCCTCTGCAAGAGCAGTAATGTTCACAATCACTGAGCCATCTCTCTACCCCCAGATATTTTTTTTAATGACTAAAAGATTTGAATAAAGTTATTTTTTTTTCTTTTGGTTTTTGAGACAGGGTTTCTCTGTGTAGCTTTGGAGCCTGTCATGGAACTCAACCTGTAGACCAGGCTGGTCTTGAACTCACAGAGGTTCACCTGCCTCTGCCTCCCGAGTGCTGAGATTAAAGGTGTGTGCCACCACCGCGCAGTTCAAATAAAGTTCTTTTAAAAGAAAGTTTCTGTGCTTCTTCCAGGAGAGTTGCAAGGGAGGGGTTTGGCCACACCTGCTTGCTGTGGGGGTAGGGGGGATGGGGAGTGGAGGACTGTCCCTGCAGAAAGATGAGATTAGTTCTCCTTCCTCCACTGCTTCATACCAAATCCCTGGGCAGTCACTTTGTGAAAATGGGGCACAGGTAGGTTGGGGAGTGTGGTGGTTGGTTTAAATGTCAATTTGCCCTAAATCAGAATTACCTGTAGGGACCCACACCTGAAGGATTGTCCTGGTTGCCTACAATGGGTGTGGGAACACCTGCCAAGTGTGGGTGGCACCTTCTGGAAGCAGCTCCTGCCAGGAGGGCAGGGCGGCTGAAAGATCTTTCACCTGTGCTCTCTGCCTTCCCACTGGCTGCTGAGTTGATTGACCCTGTTGTTGCTGCTTCCTCATCAGAACCAGCATTTCCAAGCTCTCTGGGAACTCTCTAGTTGCTGTGGCACTGCTCCCACTGCTCAGTGTCCAGCCTCAAGGGCTGAGACTCAGTCTCTCAGACATAAGACAACTATTTACCATATGCTAAGTTCAATTCTTTTATTTTCACCCTACCAGTTCTATGCCGAGAACCAGACTAACACAGGGGGAGGAAAGTCTGCAGTTTCTACAGAGTTCCAGATGCACAGCATATCAAGCCATTCAACAAGGAAGTCTGCTGTTGTTTGCCTCATAAATGGTCTGTAAAGCTCTAATTAGACTAACTGGTTAGTGTTTGTCAATGCGACATAAACTAGTCACCTAGGAACAGGGACCCTCCACCGAGGTGAGCATATCTGTGGGGCTTCTGAACTAATAACTGACGTAAGAGGGTGTAGCCCGCTCTGGGTTGTGCTACCCCGAGCAGGTGGTCCAGGATTATATAAGAAATTGGGGTGAGCAAGTCATGGGGAGAGAGCAAGTCAGTAAACAACATTCCTCCTTGATTCTGCTTCAATTTCCGCTTTGAGTTCCTGTTCTGACACCTTCCTGTGACAGACGAAGTCAAATAAACCCTTTCCTTCCCCAAGCTGCTTTTGGTGTCATACCACAAAAAAGCAAACTGGAGCACTGGTCCTGGCTGGGCATGGTGGCACACACCTGTGAGTCCAGCATCCCTACAGTACAGGCAAAGGGATAAGGAGCATAAGGCTACGTGTGACCACGTCTTAACCAAACAAAGCCTTCTTGAGTTGGATCCTGACACCAAGGGATTCTGAGCAGCCCTGAATTTCAGGGCCTGCTGGAGTCAACTCACTTGTCCTGACCTCTGTCTCTACAACTCCTGAACAGTCAGCCAGCCCGGGACACTGGATCTCCTGGTCTGCAACTCTGCATAAGGCCTTTTGGAGAAAGCTGGACATGTGTCCTAGACTGCACATGGAAGAGACCTAGCAAAATGAAGCATTTCTGCTCACACACAAAGGCTTCTGAGAACACGTATGAACAAAGGGATGTGTGTAGACAGGATGGCCTATGTGATGATTACCGCTGACCAGGGCACCACTGTAATCCAAGCCCTGTGTAAGTCTGCCCTAGAAGACCAGAGTTGGGCCACTGTGGTGGAGGTAGAAGGGAGGCCCCTTATCTAGTGGGTTGGCACTTATTGTGAGACACTGGAGAGCACCAGGATGCTTAAGGCTCTGCCTTTGAATGAATGAGGTGGGAATTTGGCATTCTTCTCTGGGTTGGTCATCTAGGGAGAGCTGCAGGATCCCAAGGCTGCCATATGCACTGTGCACTAGCCTCTTCGGCCTGACCACCACCTGCCTCCCCCATCCTCTTGACAGCAGCTGTGACCTACTGCTCACAGAAAAGTTACCTTCACCATGCTATAATGAATGAATTTAATCTCTAAAGACACAGATTACAAGGCAGTATTTGGTGTGTGTGTGTGTGTGTGTGTGTGTGTGTGTGTGTGTGTGTGTGTGTTCATGCCTGTATGTTGAGACAGGGTCTCACTATGTAGCCCAGGCTGGCCTCAAACACAATTTGCAATCTTCCTGCTTCAGCCATATGAAGTTCAAGACATATACTACCAAATCTGTGGCTTATGAAGTTATGGCAACTCTCTTTTCTTGCCCTTATAAAAAGCACCAACTGGTGTGCTCCTGTAGCAATACAAGTAGAATGTTCAAGTTTAGATCTTGGTGCACTGTTAATTGACAGAGCTGTACTGCTGACCCCAATACAGGAGCTGCTTGGATAGGCTTACAATGGAATCATCAAACGGGTTTCCTTCTCATAGATGTCTGGGATCAATCCCATTGGAGAGTTAATCATGTGCATTGTATTCTTGCCAAACAGCTGGAACTCATAATGGATGAGCTGTTCCCAAAAGCCGCTGTTGGGTCGAATGATGGGCCGGCACGATTTGGTCCAAGTGTGGGCATCTAGAAGGGTCATGGCATGGTACTTCATGAGGTAGGCGAGGCACAGGGCAGCTGAGCGGCTTACACCAGCGGCACAGTGCAGCAGTGTGCGGCCCTGCTTCATCTCCACGGCATGGATGTGGTCAGCGATGGGGTCGAAGAAATCACAGAGACGTGCAATGGGTGCATCAACCACAGGTACCTGCACATACTGGATGTCCTCATGGAAGGTGTTTGCGACCTCTACTGAGACGTTGATGACCGTGGTGATCTGATGGCTGGACAGCAGGAGCTTGTTGTTAGCAGCCACGCCATTGCTGATAAATAGGCTCTTGGTGATCTGTGAGAGGCCACTGATGGAAGGCTGTGGGAACTGAATTGGAAAGGCACCCAATGGTGAAGTCATCAAGGTGACAAGGCAACAGTTGGTGATGTGTTAAACTTCCATCTTTCTGCTAGGCTGGGCCAACGGACACTGCAGGAAGGAGGGTGGAGTTGAGAAGGCTAAGAACTCAGAAGGCTTCTGGGGAGTGGATGGCTGGACCTCTAAGGCTAGCCAAGGCAGTCCTCTGACCAGCACTGTAGAAGCATTCAGGGAATTCATTAATTTAAAGTGAATGTCACTCAGCTGAAACTGTTACTGGAGTGTTGGGGGTCTTTTCACACAGAAAACAATGGAAATGCGAACAGTCAACTTTAAAGGAACACTTCAGCTATCGAGTGGAAGGGGGTCAGCCATGGTCCTAGAGAACATGGACAAAGGAAGGAACAAACCTTGGGTTTACTAGGGTGGGTTCAGGTCAGGTCCTAAAGAGCTTCAGGAGGACTAGGATGGTACTCAGCAGGGCCTTGGTCCCTAAAGAGTACCCACACAACTAGACATATAACTGGTGTCATCTACAGCAAAGATAATGGGAAACTCATCATGTATTTTGCTCAACCTCTAAGTCAACTAAGATCAAGTGACAGTGAAGCCTGATGGTAGTCACCTGGAAGACAGCACTCAGGAGGCAGAAGAGGAAGGGCTCCAGATACATGGCCCTGTTTCACACACCCACCTCCTGCCCCCAAATAAAGAGCCAGGGAAACAAACGCCTGGGTTTCTTTAGTTTTATTTTCCCCTTTGGCAATGAAAACAGAGCCTTTTACTTGAAATTAACCTTTGAGAAACTGGGATTACAGAGAGAACAAGTATATTTCCCAAGCAGGCCGGTTTCAGCTAGCATAAGGGACATCTATCTTAATCCTCTCATAACAAAAGGTCATCCAAAGTAACCTTGGCCCAATCAATAATTTTTCTACAGTTCTGTCTCTCTGTTCCTGCCTTCCAAGGAATGTGACATGTTTTTGTTTCTAAATCTCCAGTCCATTTCAATCCACAAAACCACCTCTGCTTGGCTCACTGGAACATTCTATTGTACAGAATGAAGTGTTGCACAACTTTAGAATAGAAAATAAAGCCAAATAAGATCTTTCAACATTTGATCAATGGGGCACAAGCCTACCTTATAAAGATGTGATTGAACGAGGTAATCCAAGGGCTTGTAGTAAAGTTAAAATGCAAAGCCTCGTGGGAATGACAAATAAAGGCATGTGTTTCAGGCTGAGGGTTATAGAGTTGCAAAAATGGTCTGAAGCAATCAGACAGCAGGGCACAGCAGAGCAGACAGGAATCTAAGGCAAGAAGATGGGGGAGTTCTAGATCAACCTGGACTACTGAAATTCCTTTAAAAAAAAAAATCAAAACAACCCACACAAAAGAACAAACCCAGTACCATTCCCCACAAAAATGAGCAGTTTGGAATGAGGAGGAGGAGAAAGAGAAATTTAGTCGCGGCTATTTTCTCACTTTATGGCCAACGAAGCCTTTGGCATCTAGTTGATTTGTCACCCGTGGCAAGTGAGACTCGAGGGTAAATAGTTTTGTTCATCGTCAGACAGCAAGTTCTGAAGTCTGATATTTCTGGTGAATTACACTTTCTGGAGAAAGTGTTGGCAAATATAGGTGGGGCGTTGGTTGCATTCTGGGTTATAAACGTGGACCTGAGTCCACAAGTTAATGAGTGGGAGGTGCCACCAAGTCTAGGACGCTTCCTAGGGAGTTGGCCTAGGAATGGCTCACTACGTGGTGATAACACTCTGACGATCTTACCTCTTTCCCCGCAGCACCACGGGAGTCTTTCAGGAAGCGACTGAAGGGCGGAGCTGCCGGCGACTGTCTCCGAGAGGGCCGGTCATGATCCTGGATCTCGGCAGCAACGGCTTCTCCTCGCGCAACAATGGGTAGTTCGGGGCCTAGGGGTCAGCCGCGGCCTGTGCTGCACGGGGACGCAGCCTCGTAGGACTCGCGCAGTTACCAGACGTCTCGGAGAAGCCGGGTGGGCTGCCGCAGAGCCTACCCGCCGGTCTCTAAGGAGAGCCTTTCAGAGATCACAGAACCACCACCATTGGCCACGCCCCCTCGCGCGTCTCCTAGGCAACGCCCTAGTCGAGCGTCACAAAGCGCCAAAAGATCTTGAAGTCCTTAGCCTACAGGCTCCGCCCTCTTGTCTCCAGGGCAACGCGCAGAGCTCCGCCTTAGATTTCGGAATAGATAGTCGCTCCGCGTCCGCGCTCCCTTGCGCCATGGCTTTCGGCTTAGCTACCATTCCCGAGTCGCTCTCCATCGAGGAAGATTCCTCCTCACAGCCCAGAAAAACTTTTGTCAAATGGGATCTGGGCTCGAAGTTGGAGTCCGTTGCCAAGGAGACCACCACCCCTGGCCCGGACTTCCGGCGCGAGAGAATAGACAGCCCGCCGGATCTTGGCGAACGAGTCCTACCACAGATCCACTTCCTGCGGCCGCGGCCCGCAATCCCGATGTTCTTATTCAGGTGTGGCTCTGGTGTACGGATCGGTCGTCAGACCCGGAACCTCTAAGGGAATCCGAGATTTCAGATCCACATTGCCCCAGTCGTGTCCCCCACTCCAACCCACCCCCGCCGATCCGAGTTCCTCAGATCCCAGGACCCTCCGAAGCCCGGGCTCCGGGCTCCGGGCTCCGGGCTCCGGGCTCCGGGCTCCGGGCAGTTCCATTTCCAGCCCTCGGAGTGTAGGTTTGACGTCGTGAGGTCCGAGCGCACTTTGAGGTGACACTTGGTGAGGTTCAGGTCTCAGGCCCAAATTTACGTGACAACACGCCTTTCCATTCTCCAGTGTTTCTGGAAAAGCCTTCAGCTCCCGGTTGTTTGGCCCCAATCCTCACAAGCCTCAATGCTGACCTCCTTAACCTTAACCTCCTTAACCCAGCATCAGCCAAGTTCCTACAGAGAATTTATTAAGGAAACGCAATTTGGTTCAAAATGATTGTTTATTACTTGAGAGTATTTCCAACTTTCTCCCTTTTCATTTCCAGTATTGATAAATTAGCTGTGTCACTAGTAAAGAGGATCTTTAAATATTTAGACTCTTTTTTTTTTCCCCTTGAAAATAGGATTTAGACTTGTATGTGAATTCCTCACCTTTAAGCCCGTTTTTCCATCAGCACCTGGGTATGTGGAATTCTTCATAGAAGCCAGAAAAACAGAAATAGAAGGCTTGGATATTGGTTTCTTTGTAATGTGTAAATGTAGGCACACCCAGAAGACAGTAGTTACCTACCGATAGAAAATGAATTGGAAAACATTCATTTTTTAATCTCTTGAAAGGTTTTATTCTTTCCTTCCCCTTTTTAAAACTGGGTTTTCTTGCCCATGCTTATAATCTCAGCACTGGGATGGGAAATTCAAGACCATGCTCAGTTTAAGAGGGAGTTCCAGGCCAGCCTGGGATACATGAGACTCTGTCTCAAAAAATATGTCCTTTTGGGGGGGGGGTCCTAATTATAAAAGCAGTGTATTTTCTGATGATCTTATTGTGCTAACCAATAGAATTTATGAATATAATATAAACTATCATGTTTTTTGTTCCTTCTGTTCCTATGTGTATCAGCCAGCCAGCCATTCCTGTTTCACTTTGTGGAAATGTCCTTTTTTGTTCTTGTTTGTTTGGGAATCTGTATTCAGGGGACATTTCACCAGCACATCTATCATTTCTCTGGTTTCCTTTAAAGTGGTTTGTCAGGCATTGCAAAGGTAATGTACACTAATTAAAACATCAACAACAAAAAGCTGAACACCAGCGAAAGGAATGGCCAGAAACAATCACTGTTAACATTTTGATGTACACGTTTAAGGTTCTGTGCTGGTTAGGTTTTGGCAACTTGAAACAGACTAGAATTACATGGGATGAAGGAGCCTCAGTTGGAAATTGCCTACAGCTGATTGGCATGTGTGCATGTCTGTGGGGCTTTTTCCTAATGATCGACTGGGAGGATGCCACCACTCTGGGTGGTGCTGTCCTTGGGCAGGTGGTTGGGTTGTATTAGAGTCATGAAGAGCAAGCCAGTAAGCAGCTTTCCTGATTTAGTTCCTGCCTCGAGTCCTGTCTCCGGCTTCAATTCACGAGTGACTGTAACCTGTAAGCTGAATGAAGCACTCACCCTCTCAGGTTATTTTTGGTTAGTGTTTTATCACACCGACTAAGAGGCTAAGATAATCCATGTATGTGTGTTATATTTTTTAAAAATATAACACAAAAATCACGTTAGTAATCTACTTAATTACTTGTATTTTATCTGATGACTTAGCACAATTATCCACTTGCTTCCTTGATGAATCCTTGGGTTCCAAATTTTAGAATGTATGAGCAATGGGAAAAAACCATTTCAAGAGCTTCATAGTGCAACTAAATTATCAGAAACTGAAAACTCAGGGGCTTACAACATCCTTTGATGTCATTTATTTGTTGACACATATAGCCCAGGTTAGCTTAATCCACAATGTAACTAATAATAACCTTGAACTTCCCGTCCTCCTGCTTCTGCCTCCCAATAGGTGAGTTTTTACTGGTGCTGGAGATCACCCAGGACAGTGTGCATGCTAAGCACACATTCTACCAACTGAGCCTCATCCCCAGCTCTCCTTGTGGGTGTCTCCAACCCATTGATGCAAATGGGGCCCAGGATTCCCATGAATACTAGCGGTCAACACGACACAACAAACTTAAAACATTGGGAGATGGGGCTTGGGTTGGGGAATCTTTCTGGGTAGATTAATTGTGTTGTCCCTGAGTGTGAACTTTGTCAATGATATTGTTGTCTTGCAATGTCAAAAGGCAGAACACACTTGATAGAGTCTCCAAAATTTCTGTAACTCCCAAACTTCCCTCACTTCCCAGACTCTTTCATTAGACTTCCCTTATTAACTAACCCTGTGTCCACCCAAATTCCCCTCTCTTTTAAAGACAGTTGTCTATCCAGGCTGGCCTAGAGCGCTTCCCCAGTGCTGAGACCGCAGGCATTCACCAATACAATCTGCTTTCCTTTTTCCTTATCCTGTGCTTTTCTACCCCTACTTCCCAGATCCCCCTTAGATCTTGGCTGTGAAGGAAGAACTCCCCACCTCAACCTCTCTCAAATTCATCTTTTGCCTCTACCTTCCAACTTATGTCATCTAAGACCTCCACCTTTGCTCTTATCCTGAAGTTTCTCACAAGATGACCACTCTCAGCATGGTGGGTAGAGCTCGGGGAGAGTGCTTGACTTGCATGTAGCTTTAGGTTCTATCCCAGTGCCACCATAGAGTAACAGTAATGACAATGACAACAACAATTCTTGAGGACTCTTGGGATCCTCTGCTGACCTCTCTTGTGGTCTGCTCTAGACAGTCCTGTGTCCTTCCCAGATGCTTTTCCTTCTTGTTCAGGAAGCAGCCTCTTGGCATACCCTATCTACAGGCAAATCTTGAAGTGGTTTCCTTGATCCTCAGAAAATGAGAAAACCACTTGAAATCCAAGGAGGAGCCAGGTGTGGTGTCACACAGCTTTAGTCACAGCCCTTGGGAAGCAGAGGCAGGTGGATCTCTATGAGTTCCAGGCCAGTTTGGTCTACAGAGTGAGTTCCAAACCAGCCAGAGCTACATAGCAAAACCCTCTCTCAAAAAAAAAACAAAAACAAAACAAACAAACAAACAAAAACCCACAGAAGTATCTTCTACTATCCCAGCACCTATCAAATCAGGCCTTGACCAGGTGTCTCTAACCTGTGCCATCTTCCCCCACCCACTCTAGTGTATTGAATTCCAGTGATGCAAATGTGAAGAAACTTTTACCCAAGAGCCATTTATCTCGGGTGATTATTCGGGACAACCTCAATGCACAGCGCATGTACGAGATGGAGGTAGGCTATCCGCCAGCTTCTGGGTTGGAACCTGTTAGTGGCCTGGCCATTCTACAGTTGTGCCCAAGTTGCAAAGATCCCCAGAGACACCAGGAAAACATACCCACCAAACTGTAAAAGCAAGGTTTTATTGATTGTTCATCCAACCATGACAGGGATCCCATCTAGCAAGCTGACACAGCAGCCTCCAGAGAGAGTGAAGTTTCCTGTCTTCCGCTAGGTTTTAAAGACAAAGTTACAGAATTGCATCAATAGGTATGGGTTGGTTTCTGATTGGTTGACATTTGGGAACAATCAGGAGAATTTCTTGGTCATATTTTAGCATGAAATACCTGTGTACCAATTAGTTACATTGGTCAGTGCTGAGAGGGAACATTCTGTGGTTTCTATAGCTTTGTCTTGTTACTTGCAGGTGGCCTGTTGTACATAGATACTAATAGTTTTCAGAACTGTATCCTGGAGACTACAGGGGAGGTTTTGATCTCCCTTGGAATTTCTTTTGTGGCTAAACAGTTCCCAGGAACCAAGTACCTAGGAGGCTAGATACCGGGGGGGGGGGGGGGGTTG